AAACTAATCATTAATTAATCAGTAAGTTGTAAATAGACTAATTTTAGCCTAAATGAACTAAAGATCAAAATTCTTTTTTATTTTTTTTTTTTTTGTTAGTTTATTCATTATTGGATGTATGTTGTAACAAATTAACGTTTATTGTTCCAAAATTGCCACTATTATTATGACACACACACACACACACACACCAAACAATGTGAAAAAAAAACAACAGCCCAAATATTTGAAACATACGATAATCACATATACATTCACAAATAAACATATTGTAGACATAATCCAAATTATTATTGCAAGTAATGACCTTAATTGAAGAGACAAATGTGGAAAAAAAAATTTTTTTTTTTGTCTCTCTTAACTAAATAATGATAATGTATCAATAGATAAATAACAAATGACTTTATTATTATTATTATTATAATTCATTGTCTTGATCGTGATGGTATTCAAAAAAAATCAACTATTCTGGTGCATTCTCTCTCTCATTCACTAGCAAAAGAAATAGGATAAAGCAGATTTTATCTTGTATTGTGGATTCCAAAACTAAAACTTTCCTCCTCTTTCCAACTAACCACCCAACCACCAACAACAAAAAAAAATGACAATCCTAACATATTTTTTTTGAAAATTAATGGCTTTTAGATAAGCTAGAATATTTTTTTTTTTTTTTGTTTGTTTGGATTCTCAATATATTAATATATACCGAAAGAAAAATGTACAAGTGTGAATGATTAGGTCATGATTATGAAATATATGTAGAAAAAAAACTGACAATGAACAACGGAAATGATAATAACAGCCGAAAAAGATTATTAACAATAATTTAAACTAAGCTATCTATTATTATTCTGGTAATTATTTGTATAATTGTTGAAAAATCAACAATGAACTGATACGAAACGAACGATATTCATAGTAGTAATTCGTATGTCTCCATGTTCTGCATATTCAATTAAATTGAAACCAGATGAATGAAATGAAAATTTTCCATTTCAAGTTCATTGTTATTCAAATGGATATTCACATATATGATGAACGAATGAATGTTGACTAAATCGTACAACAAATTAATACATATCCGGGCATATTCAATATGATTTACGAAATTCTTGGTCAACTACCTACAATACAATATATTAGCTTCAACAAAATGCTCACACAGATAATATTGACAGCTCGAGAATGAAAAAAAAACCACAAACAGTGGAAAAAAAATGCAATCAATCACATTGAAGAATCAGAATCAGAACCAGACACTAGAAAACAGAAAATTTATAAAGATGAAAAAAAACAGACGAAATGTGAATGAAGAATGGTTCGAAAATATTTTATTCGTTTTCTTTAATTCAAAAAATTCACTTTGTCATCATATCTGGATATGGTGTTGGCATTGATATTTTATTCCGTTTTCGTCCTTTTTCTATTGAAATAATCAGAATTTTTCTTTTTCTTTTTAAAGGAAAAAAATTTTTGACAGTCAGTGAAAAAAATTTCAACAACAAACGGAAGCTGTCGTTAATAAAAAAAAATTTTTATTTTATTAATATTTCAAATACCGTTTTCCTTTATGCGTTCCAGAAACAATTTTTTTTTCACTGATGCTAATATATGGTTAATTAATCTTCATCTGGCCACATACAGAGACAAAAAAAAGAAACAAAAAAAAAACAACAACAACAATTCTTGATTTATTCAATGTCTCATTCTTGTTATAAATGTTATCAATTCTGGATAAAATGAACCACTCCATATGACGTATTTTATATATATATATGTGTCCACAATATCAAACTCCTTTACAATAGGAAATATATATTGATATTTGTTGTTTCCGGTTGATGGACAAATCTGTATGAATTATACTTTTCTCATTATTCTATCAGAATTGTCGGCATTTTTTCCGGTTCGGTTGAATCGTTTTTTTATATTGTCTTTTTTTGTTTATTTTTCAGGAAAAAAAATTACAATAGAAACGACGTTTTAAAATCGATGAACAGCTACAACAACAACAAAAAAAACGAAATCAAAAATATGGTGCCGAAGTACTTGTTTTGCTTTGTCTAACCAAAAACGAGTAAAAAAAAAATTTTTTTTTTTTTTTTTTTATTTCATTGGTTAAATTTATTTATTTTTCTTTTCGCAACTTATTCGCTCACTCGTTCATTTTTTTTAATCGATTCTCGATCCGAACTGTTGTTGTTGTTGTTGTTCTTTTTTTCAGTTTCTACTAAATAATAATTTTTGTCATATATGAAAAATTCCTTATGGTGCAAAAAAAAATGTAAAAAAATAGACCAAAAAAAAAAAAATTCTCAAGAGATTCAACGATCCATATCGTTCAAATGGTGAACATAGGCACAAATGGAAAAAAAGGGGTGCTAATCATGAATTTTGTTTTTCTCTGCCTTTTCACAAACCCAATTGAAAGAATTATATATTCGTTTGTTGTAGTTTTTTGTTCACGCAATAGGGACACTTTATATTCCGATACAACTGCATTCATATCATCATCATATATGAAATTGCAATTATATGAAACCGATCACATGGCAGCATGGCAGTTCGCGGTCCATGATCATATTATTCAATTGATATTGGAAAAAAAAGCCCAGACTAGTTTCTAGAACAAAAAAAAAAAAAAATCAAACCAGACATGATTCTATAATACTGATAAACATAAAAATAGAGAATGAGTAAACTATACGATCATTTTACTTGGAATCTAGATGATGAATTTGAAATTGAAATGGTGGCCTGCTGATGTTTGTTGTGTGTGTGTGTGTGTGTGTGTGTATTGTGTATGAGGATTGTTAACTGAAATAGTTGTTGAAATAGAAAACTAATGGAAAAAAGAGCTTGGAACCCAGCAAAGACCAATCCGAAAACACAAACGCACACACGGATAAAAAAAAGCTGTAAGTTGACAAATTCGGAACCAAAAAAAAAATATTAAAACTGAAAAAAAAGTAAAATATGTAACAAACTCTTGAGTTTTTTTTGTCATCATTGTTGATGACGGAAAATCCTTGGAAACATATATTATTTTGAATGTGAACTATGGCCATATTCTTATTTTCATCGGAGAGTTTGTTTTATTTTTATTATTATTATCATCATCATCATCCCTCATGTTATGACGACAAAATCTCAAATGGGAAAAAAAACAAAACAAAAAATTGTCACATCACAAGCAAAAAGTAATTTTTCTTTCCTTTTCTTTCTTTTTTTTACTCTTTTTCTCTTTCATGTGGTGTTCCATTTCAAATAATGATGATGACAACAGCAGCAATTGAATGAAAGTTATAGTGAAATGAAACGAAACAAAACAAAACAAAAAAAAATGATGAATTCAGCCATCCAATAACTAGATTTGTGATGAGAAAACAGATAGAAAAAAACACATTGAAAAGCAATAAAAAAAAGAAGAGGCCAGTTGAATCGGCTTTTTTTTATTTTGTCGCTAGTTGAATCTGGTTCCGGGTAACATATTTTTTCATCATCGTCATCATAGTTTGATGATGGACAAATTAATTGATCATAATAGCCTGTCTATTTTGTTTTCACTTTTTGTCAATATAGAACTGAGTTTTTGCTTTAAAAAAAAGCTAAAGCATATAGCATCGTACAAACATGACAACTGGATGGAAAATGTCAAAATCAAATTGGTTGGTTGGCTTGAATCCAATATGGTTTTCTGGTTTTAATTTTTTTTTTTTCTGACTGATTTGTTGTTTAACGAAGAGAAAACTAAAGAGGAAAAAAGAAAACAATTTGAAACTCTCCATTTCCGACAACAAAATTGGATTCAAGAACAATTTTTGATTTAAAAGTTTTTTTCACATTTTTTCCTCTATTCTGACGACGATAAAACAAAACAAAAAAAAATTGAAAACGCCAGCCACAATTCTCACAAACATTCTAATAGTTCAATTTTTCTATGTGGCCCATCTTATATATAACCAAATACACGAAAAAAAAGAATAATGATGATGAAACCTAAAAGATCTAAAATTCTATAACATTTTATTCTTTCGTAACGACGACGACGACGACGAGGACGACAAATGAATAAATGAACGCAGACACCAAAAAAAAAAAAAAAAAAAAGTTTAGAAAAAAAATACTGTCCCATACAATATTGAGCCATTGCAAAGTGGAAAAAAACATGAGCAAAAAAAAAATTGAAATGAGAAAAGATGGACCATGATGGGTAAGATGAACATTTTTGTTGTTTAAGAAACAAGAATAACTACTACTTGTTTCGGCTTCGAATACAATCAAAGTATAGTTATTTTTGATGATGATGATGATGATGATGATCATGTTGTATCAAATAACTTTTAGCTTTACATTTTTGAAATCTTTTGAAAATGACGAATTTTTTTTGTTTTTGGTTTTTGAGAAGATTCAAAAGACGGTACTAAATTGATGATGATAATGATTATGCGATGAAAATCTCGCGGACAATATGGTCGTCGTTTGTTTTTGTTTTTTGTTATTCTGGACAATAACGACAATTTCAAAATGCATTCAATTCAATCTAGACGGGAAAAAAACGACATTTTGAATGACTTGGAATCCAAAACTTCTTCATTCGATGAACTGCTGCTACAGCCAACAGTAACGGCTGTTAAAGTTACATTTTTAAATGTTTTACATTCTCTTTTTTTTACCAATGATAATGTTTAATGATGTTCGATGAAATGAATGAACGAATTGGATTTATCATTCGATTTGGTTGCATTTTGATATAGAATAAGAATAACATTCATATGTAAAAACGAAGAAATAGGAGAAGAAAAAATCACTATTCTCACTATGATGATGATGATGATGATGATTGTAGCAATAGCCGTTTCAAAAAAAAGAAGAAATTTTTATTTTTGCACACCCATAAACAAAAAACATATGACAAGAGAAGAAGAGAGAATACATTTAATGTTTCAATGTTTTCTGTCGCTTTATTTTTTTTTTGCTCATCTCTTCACCAGTTTTCTTTTCTTCTTTTTTTGGTATGGTTCCAGGAAAAAAAACATCCTAGTTTGATGGCAAACATATATTTATTTGAAACGAAAATACCGGGAAACAAATACTATGATGGTATGATGGTTTTATCTCTGGTTTTGCACAATAATTTTCATCCATACAACCATTTTCCATTCATTTTTTTTTCTATTGTTAGCTAAATTTATTCTTTTTTCTTTTGTAGACCCCTTTTTTCGGATTTCCAGATATTGTATACATTTCATTTTGGCTGTCAAATCTATCACAAATACCACCACCACCACCACCACCACCACCATCATCATCAATGGAACATGTTGCAATCGGTGTGACGATAAATGATTTGTAGTATGAATCATCATCATCAGACAAAACAAAATAGCCCTAGTACATATATATCGAGTAAAGATGATCAAAAAAAAAAAAAAAAAAAAAAAAAAACAGACATTTCAGATAGTTCCAGTGAATAGAACAAAAATAAAAACAAGCAAGAAAAAAAAAGACAGACACACCAGACAATTGACCCAATAAGTCAAGTTGAATGAATCAAGAATGAAACAAAAACAAAAATATTTGTCCAAGACATTTATAACATGGTGTATTGTTCTTGCCTGAACAGAACATTCCATTATCATTAACTCATTGTGTCATCATAATGATGATGATGATGATGATGATGATCATCCACTATAGTCATAATTAAATAATTGTTTCAATTTGTCAGAACACTATTCACTATAATTATAATTATGATGAATTTCTCTATATTAATCATATGCTACTATTCTCTGTGTAACATTTGCCGAATGAAAAAGAAGAATGATAATTGATAATAAGTTTGTTTGTTCTGTTGAATGGCTAGTTGTTTTATTTTTTTTCTCTTGTAATGATTGTAATTTATGAACCACAGAAAACCAATGGATTTTTAGTTTTCCAATCATTTCAAATAATGTAACAAACTCAATGAATTTTAACCACAGAATCAATGATTTGCATCATCATAATTTGAATTTTTTCATTATTCAAATTATTTCGTGTCATTTAACAAACAAACAGGATTTTCAATAATAATAATAATAATTATCTTTGTGATTTGTAGCAGGTAAACATCATTTTTGAATTTTGCTATTCATACATTATATTATAATGATGATGAATGAATGAATTTTTGAGAATTATTTACGAAATAGCTAATTTTATTTTTCATTTTAAACAGTAAAATATGAAGTGAAGCCAAACGAAATATGGGAATAATGAAAAATTCATTTTCAATTTTTTTTCTATTTGTCTTTTTTCTTTTTTTTTTTTTGTTCCAACAGAAATTCTCCCGATAATCAAGTGTACACATACTTCATGTATGAATGAATTGGATTCAAATTGAATCAATTGTTGAATTATTTATTCATTGTTCAACCATTCTCGTTTATGTTATCAACCAGAACAAATATATTTGAATTATGTGTGTGTGTGTGTGTGTCTGTATGAAACTAAATGATTGGTGAAACTTGACATTTGGTTGTTACATATATTATTATTACAAGAACCAGACAGAGTCCAAATATCCAATTGAATGAGTTCAATTCCATTTTTAATGAAAAAAAAAATGAAATAAATTTTATTTTTTTTCCATCTGTTTTCTTTTAAATCCTCAACATTATGGTTTGAGAGTCAAATTATTTTATGCACCCAAAACAAAAAAAAAAAATTTCACAAATGAAGTATCCTTATCAATGCGGTAGTCAATGTATATCATACAGATATACATTCAATCAAATTAGATGATTGTTTGATTTTTTTGGATGTTGAAATGATGAAAGACACAATATGGGAGAAAAAAAATGCAAACAAATGATCTTCATTCTATTTAGGTTATACTATACACATAATACTCACGCACATACACAAAACACTAAGATTCCAGGTATATGAAAACATCAGTGAGCAAACAAATGTATTAGGTTAAAATATTAATGAAAACACACACACACACACACACACACGGAAATGCATCCAATCCATTCGAATATTATTATTTTTATTATGATGATGATAGAAAAAAATCTACTGATCTTTTAGCTATTGATATCATGATCATTACAGATGCTCAATACCTGTAATATATAGACAATTCTTCATACCAACATCATCATCATCATCATCGAATGGCCAAACAAAAATCAATACAAAATAATCAAACATCCATATTATATTCTTATGATGTTGATTCTTTTTTGTTTTGATATTTATTCTTGATTCATTTATATCAACCCTTCCCAAACTGTGGTCCACAGAAAAATTTTACTGCTAACACTGGTTCGTGGTCTAAAAAAAGTTTGGGAAACGCTGCATTATTAATATATTATCATTGTTCAAGAACAGGAGGGGGTGTGTTCATGTTCATGTCCACAATTATTGAATCAACATAAAAATAGCTTTTTTTTTTCACAAACATGAATGTTTCAGAATCGGTAATGTGAATTTCACTATCCCCTTTATTTCATATAATTCAATGATTGAATGGTCTACTCGAAAAAAGGAAAATTCGTATAACAAAACAACCAAGATATCTTCAGGCTACCGACACCAAAGATTTTTTTTTCTTTCATTCATTTTTCATCTTCATCAATTTTTCACTGGAATTCAGGAATAAAAATGAAAACTAAAAATTACATCTTATTTTTTTATTTCTATTCATTTTGAAAGGAAGTCTGTGTAAATGAGAAAAAAAAATTTAAAATTTTTTCCACAAACACAACCCCAAATGACACAAAAGAAAGAGAGATCGACAAAAGAAGAAAAAATGATGAAAAAAAATCTTCATTTCATTTGTGTAGTTTTTATTTTTTTTTTTTTATTTTCATTTCATTCATCTACTAATAAAAAAAAAGAATCTCAAATCTAGTTATTCTGGAAAGGAAACCAATTCAAGAACAAGTTTCAAATTTTCAAATAAAGTATTATATTGTCTGATGATAATAATGTAAAACAAACGAATCTATATTGATATATAATTTTCTTTCATCGCCTATCCCTTCTTTCCTATAGCCAATACCAAATCCACCCAATTTCAAACAATAGACATTCATTTTTTTTTCGTTTTGTTTGACAATCGTATCATGTGTGTAGTATACGAATAATTCATGAATTGACAATGAAAAAAAAAAAAAAATTTTTCGCGCTTCACGTGGATGACGAACAAATGTAATGAATGTAATACAAAGGCCAAAAAAAAAGAGATTTGTTTTTTCTCTCTTTTTTTTCCATTCATTTTTGTTTCAATAATGAATTTTTTATGAACCTTTTTTTTCCATTATCATCTTCATCATTCGTTTGTATCATTATTGTCCAATGCCAAGATTCTTTCTATATTCTCTCTCTCTCTTCTATCATTCACAAAAATAAATCGCATCTTAAAACCAAAGAATCTTTTTTGTAAAGCTAATTGAAACAACAAGATTCTTAGTTCTTGTTGTTCACTAAACAAACACCAGAAGTTACATGAATTCAAAATCCGTTACTATGGAAACATCTGCCACTGATGATGATTGTGATGATGATGATGATGATGATGATGATACGATCGCACGCACATATGATCATGAATTTTTTTTTACGCTTTCATTTCTCATTCTTAATTCCAATTTTACATTTGAAAATTCGTATCTTGCTCTTTCTAATCTCTGTTTTCAGATTAAAGTCTGTTTCTTTTTCGTCGTCTTTTTGTTTGAATTAATTTTCATTTCACTTCAAACAATTTTAATCATCAAAATTTTTTCGTAGCTTGGAACAATAAAAAAAAATTTGCTAACTTGGTTAGATTTGTCTTTTTCTGTCTTCTTTTTGTTACTGTTTACAATGTTCTGAAACTGGAACGGACAAAGTCATCAGAAATGAAATCCTGAAAAAAATAACAATAATAACGATTCTATTAAATAACAATGATTTTGAAATCAAGCAAAAAAAACAAACGAATGCTGCCAATTATCATCATCATCACCATGATTGAATTCGTAACGTTCTCTCGATTCCAAGAATAAACGAATGAAAAAACAATCCTAGAAAATTAAATTGAAAATGGAAAAAATTATATTTGAGTTTCGTCACAAAACGGGGCACAGATGTGAAACAAGAATTTTGTTCGTTCATATGACAACACACAAGACATGTCATCGATTCATTCAATTGACATTTATCATTGATAATTGAAAGAGAAGAATAACGAGTGAAATTTTCTGTTATGACAATTTTATTCTATTTTTTTTTTTTTTTTGGTAAATGACTACTTTACAAGAATTCTTATTGTTATAGATCATACTCATCAATCTGAATAATCATCATTATAATATAAGGAAAAGAACCATGAAAATTTCCGATCAAATTAACCGGATCATTATTCAAATCAAAAATATGAACAAAAATGAGTAGAAAATTTACAAACAAATGTTAAACATTGTGGAATTGAGAACCGAAGAAATTACAAGGGAACAAACAATTTAATCTACGAAAAAAAATTTTTCTGCTTTCCATGTAATATAACACAGAATCTCTTTTTTTTGCCACCAACCAACCAACAACAACAGCAACAGCACCATAAACAAGTCAATTCAATTAATCATTAATAATATCGCCAAATCATTCAGCCACCACTAACACATCCAAATTACATGATGATGATGATGAAATTGTCAGCCCCCAATAACTAGATGTTCCATTATTATTATTATTGGTTAGAGCTAAAATGGAAATTCACAAATCGAAATTTATCGTTTCATGCCCACCATCACCACCACCACCACCATCATCATCATCATCATAGTTCATTGCTTCCGGATGTTTATCTGAAAATCGAAAGCAATGAACACGATTACAACAAAACAACAACAACAACAACAACTACGACAATCATCAATTGGGTTTTGATCAAACATCAAAATTCTTGGTTATGTAATAATAATAATAATAATAATAACCGTTTTTGGCTGATAATATATCCTCATCGTCTACAATGTGATGATTATAATGAGGCAATTTTTATTCGAATCATTCCACATTTTTGGTTTTATTTTGGTCCGTTTCTTTTAATGTTAGTTTATTCTGATGGTCACATCATCAGATCATAAATGATTTTTTGTTTTTCGTTTCTTTCTTTCGTTTATAAATGTTTTACCTAAAAAAAAATTTGATTGAATCATTCATTGATTGAAAAAAAAATTCATTCACCCACATTTATTTGTGTTGTAGCAAAATGTTTTTTTTTCTCTGTTGACTACTACAAAAAACAAATTTATTTACTTGACTTTTTTTTTGCAAGGCTAAGTAACTGAATTTCAAACCTGAAAATAGGAATTTTTTTTCGTGAGAAAAAAAAACGAAATACAAAAATGATAAAAGAAAATGTCATGTTTTTGTTATATACATTCTGTAGTAATAAACAACAACAACAACAACAAAAATGGAAAAAAACATGACCATACAAACAAGCTTGGCCAAGCGTTACCGAAAATGAATTCGCTTGGGATCGTGAAGAATCGAAGAATCGCGAAAAAAACACATTTAATAATAACAACATAACAACAGCATTTGATCGGAAATAAAATGTAAAGAAATGAAGAGGAGAAGAAGAAAAAAATTTTATTTTCATAGCAACAAACATTGCAAAAAAAAAGTTTTTTTTCCAAAAAAAAAATTATACGTGTTTAGAATTCTAATTTTCGGAAAAAATAAAA